CCTGACACTAGTATGATATCCTTCGTATAAGATATGGTGTACAGACAGAAATGCAACATTGAGTTCTTTTAAATTTTGACTTAAAAAGGTTTTTATTTGTGACTTAGGAAAAACTGGTCTTTGCCAACTGGTTTGGATTATTGTGAAAAAACTTACCACGCATTTCACATGAAGACATTTCCACTCATGTGGTTAGTTCTGCCATCTTCTATCTGATAAAAGAAATTAAAACCATTAGATCTAGGCCTTTAATGCACCTTCTTAATGTAGTAAAGAGGTATCTGATCATTAGTACAGTTAAATGTAAATTTATAATGTCATCGTCTATAAAATACAAAAAAATAAAAATAAAAAAACAAGGACTGCCAATGACTTACAAATTTCAAAACTAAGACCTGCCAGGGAAAAATGACTCAAAGAAATTTAACAGGGTTTTTGCAAAATGTTTTTTTTTTTTTTTTTTTTTCATATTGCATATTATTTCACGTACAATTGTTTGGTTCCCTCTGCCACGAGCCACCATTGGAGTTCCATTGTTGAGACTGAGAATGTCCATTCCACTGATTACATCCATAACCTAAATATACAAAGAAAATACAGCCATGAGATAAAGTTACGATGAAAAAGCATTCACTCTGGAACACCCACTCTTTTAGCCAGTATAATATTTTTAGTCAAAATATTATAAGAAAAAAAATTTTTTAATGTAACAGTCAATAGCAAAAAGTCATTGGAACATTTGTTAATTATAAATATAAAAGGAATTACCTTGATTATTTCCCCAGTTATTATTATTATTATTGTTATTATTATTATTGGACCACTCCTGTGAATAAGATCCATTATGCCATCTGTTGTTCCAAGACCCTTGGTTACTGTTGCCATAGCAATCTCCCTGTCCCATTTGTGAATTATACCCGTAGTCTGAAATGAACACGAAGGATGTTTGAGAAGACTCCAAAGGAAATCAAATTATAATACGGCAGTTCATAGTTTCATTTCATGGGCATATATACATATATTACTACAGTAATGTATTCATACAAAACATTTTTTTACTTAATTTATTATTTATTCATTTTATTTATTTTATTTATTTTACTTTTTTTTTTTTTTTTTGAGTTGGTGTAAACATCACTATTTTTTTCAAAAAAATAATGGTCTGAATCCAGTAAGGGTTAATTATATTTTAAAGAAGAATGTAACATGCTTGCAAGACTTCATGCCCATTGATTGCACTTCAGATCATTGCAGGTTAATGAATCATTTCATGGTAACCGTGATATTATGATAACAGTTACTTGGAGCTATTCTGAGTTCCAAGGAAAAGTGCTCATGTTAGCCCCAGCTCCATGTTAAAGAAAAAAAGGGTGTTTGTAAGAAATGTGAGTGAGAAAGAATGAGATTATTTATTAGAGAGAGAAAGAGAGTGAATGAGAGAATGAGGGTGTATAAGAGAGAGAGAAAAGGAGAATATGTTTGAGAAAGAATGGTGCCATCGATTTAAGCACTATTTGATCACACTAAATGTGCTCTTTTATTCAACGGACAAATGTTACGCACATACCTTGAGCATTTGTCCCATTCCTGTTGTCATATTCCCAGTTATTTCCAAAGTTATCGGAGGTAAAATCAGTCTCCTCCTGCCGCCCTTGATCCCAGTTATCTTGCTGATAATCACCAGAATAAAATTCACCATTTCTATCTAGTAGAGTTTTCCTATAAGGCTGCCGCCCTGAGCTTGATTTATTGTAGAACTGGCCTCGACCTCTACCTCGGCCCCTGCCTCTCCCCCTACCTCTGCCTCTCCCCCGTCCTCTGCCAAATATGTTGGATTGGTCATGCCATGTAAAATCAGAGCCCTTTGATTTGAATCTTTGTACCTTGTCTATTGCTTTGGACTCAAGAAGATAAGGCTTTTTGTATGACTTGTGTTCTTGTTTTTCATGGTATTGCATGGAACCCTTTTCTCCTTTGTAGAATTTGTGTTCGACTTTTTTCTCGTACAGTGTCTTATTTGGTGAATCTGAAAACTTTGAGTGAGAATTGTGCTTCTGATACTTCAATCCCTCAGATTTGAATTTTTTAGTTGATTTTGTATCATCAAATGATTTCCTCACCTCTGTTGATGAGGATCTCTCTCGTTCTTTTGAGTTGCTATCATAACATCTTCTTTTGGATTTTGGTGGATTATGAATATCTCCCTCCTGTTCATTATTTTGATTTCTTTTTGACTGTTCGTTCTTTTCTGCTTTTGAAGGCTTTCTCTTTCTTCTGTTTTTGAGTTCATCATAAGGTGATATTCTTTCTGTCTGTATTTTTTCATGGCTTTGACTGTCCACATCTTGCATCATTTCTTGGTTTCTTACGGGTGCAACACCGGCTTTTTCACATTCATTTTTTCTTGGCAGTGCATTATCTTTCCCTCCATTCTTGGTCAGTAACAGCTTCCCTTCACTAGTGTCTGGTTTCTGTTGTTTCTTGTTACTCTGGGAATTATCTTGTGTTGCTGAGTCACTCAAACATAAAACTTGTCTGGAGATGGCAGGTGGGCTGGTTGGTCGAAATCCTTCAGTTGGTCTTTGAACTTCCAACTGTGTGGAACAATTCTGCTCACATTTCTCTAAATCTTCAGCTGGTTTCTCTTTGAGCAGTCTGCATTTCTCTAGGTTTTCACACTGTTCTTGTTTTTCGGTACTAGCTTCACCTTTTGTAATTTCAGGTCTATTTTGCTGCTGATCATGCACTGCAGAGTTATTTGTTTTGCATTCACTCTTCAGGTTGGCAGAAAGATTGTCAGAAACTTCACCCATAGGAGACTTATTTTCAAGCTGTTCATTAGATGTACATATGTTTACTGGCTGTGATGAAGCCTGGTCTTGTTCCTGTTGGATGGGTTTTGTTTGNTCCCGTTAAGGCCGTACAGTTTATTTTTCACGGACGCTTGATCCAGTAACATTTTCTCTGACTTGGCCATTTTTAAAATGGCCTCGGAGTTAATGCCGTTCTTCCCGCGCAGCCTGTGCATGTTTAGCGATGTTTCGAGGCTCAAGATGTTGGTTTCATCTATCGGATGACACTTTACAGGATCACTGGAAATAGAGAAAATGTAATATAGTCTATTTTAACGGAGAAATATTAAGACACTCTATATAAAGGCTTACGCGACCTTCTACACAATAGCTCTGAAAAAGATAGCACATAAAGGTGATTCAGTATCGATAAATAAAATAACGAATGATCATTTTAAAAACTTGAAAATCAAATTGCCAGATAATCTAACAAATTATGGTATTAAAATCGACACAATAATCCAACCCTTAAAAGTTTCAAACCAGATATATTTACGGCAGTATTATGTATGAACTCATACTATTATTACAGCATGGTCTCTCTGCTGTAAGTTCACTAGACTCCCCATATGTGGTGCAGACTTTTAAGTTTGCAGTTTTAAAAAAAAACTCTCTCTGCTTCCCTTCACACATGTTGTCCCTGCGGAATGTAATGGATCCCTATGCAATGTGACCTAATAAAGTACGTGTTGTGCCCCGTCACAAGCATATGATATTTTTGTATTGTAAGAAAGATGTCGGTTTATTAAGGACAGAAGAACTGAGTGTTTTTTTTCTCTGCGGGGCGGTGCGGGGGGGGGGGGGGGGGGGGTGATTATAGTAACTACTATGTCAAATTAAAATTCATTTCCCAATAAAGGAAAGTCCCCGAAACGCAACAGAGACGACGTGGCATTTCATTTTGCGTTGAACTGTAGACGTGTATCAAACCTTCATCATGAATACATCTGGAATCAAGACAACCGTATGCCGTCTGTAGCTTATGAATAATACTAAAAGATAATTCTTCATATCACCATGTGAATAATAAGTATGAATAATTTATTACACACAATAGAGAGGTCTGGTTATAGATTGTAATCGTCTTTGGATGGCGCGTGGAGATAAGCTGATACTAATCAGCTCAGTGATCCTAAATTTAAACTATGCCTCTAATATGTTGTCAATTAACTCGGCTATTTTTGTTGTGATTTTTTTCTGGGGTCTGTGGAAATATAGACGTCGTGAAGAAAAATGATTTATTTAAAAAACCAAAGAGCATTTCATGGAGCGTTGCAAATGACAAGGTCAAATTAAAAAGATATTTATTCTGCGTCACAGCCTCCCTGTTCAACCTTACACCAACTCATAACGCCGCCGTTGTGATTGAGTCAGACTTAGATTTCTTCTCACAGCTTTATCAGGCTATTGAATCGATCTTTTGTTTAATACATACTTATCGGTAGAATATGTGTCGTAACTTTAAACGAACCTATTTCTTGGATTTACATATCTCATTGTGTGAAATCAACCATCATTATTCCAGACGATAAGCCCAGATAGAAAAAACGTCACGATATGTAATTTTGATATATTTAGCACATTGTTTCAACCAGACTTTGTCTCGTGTTAAAAATAATTTAATTTTCACGTCTATCTCTCCACGCTTACCCAACGGGGCGTCCGAGTTAGAAACAATTTGCTGTGTTCCTTGGGTATTTTGCAGGTGAAATTGACGAACTTTATTAGCATATTCGTGGTTAAAAGCGGTTATTTGTCACCAAAAATCAGCAAAAGAGACTAGCTCAGAAATTTAATTTCCCTGGTTGTTTGCGTTTACGTGATTTATTTGTGCGCTATGTCTATTTTCCATGTATCACTTTGAGTCAAAATTTCCCCTAACATTCATTTGAAAACATTGTTTTTTGACACCGACATTAACCACCTTGGGAAACATACGTTCCAAAACGAGTGCATATTAAACTCAAGTTCAACAAAGTCCAATTCAGACACATTTGTATAAACAATGTACAAATATCAATCAGGCCCTTGGGTTCACTGTTCACATTGGTTAACAATCAAAAAGAAATCTGGAAAAGAAACTACGGACGAAACAGTTGAGGATTTTCTATTTTCTCTTGTCGTGATATATGATATCTATTTAAACTGGATACAGTCCATAAAAAAGATTATGCAATACTCTAAGAGAGAGTGTACCTTTCTCTGTAGAAAGTGATGAGCGCCCTACATGCGAGGATTTAGATAAATCGGCTATTTCATGCAAATATACAGTTAATGTAGTCTTGAACTTTGAAGAAATTTCATGAGCATAGCAAGTTTGTGTGTGGACATGAAGAAAACAAACAGAGAAAAGAAAACAAACGGGGAATATATTGACTGCCCCCCCCCCCCCCCTACACACACACACAACACCATGAACGGTACATACGCGAATACTCACGGAGAGAGAGAGAGAGAGAGAGAGAGAGAGAGAGAGAGAGAGAATAAAATAAGGATTTTTAGAGTTTTCAATACTGAGGTCAGCATTCATACTTCCATTATAAAACCATAGCGTACCAACCTTCTACGGTCCTTCTCCCTCAGTTAGCGTTGTTCCTCAACATTCTCTGCATACATACGACATTAGATCATTCCCAAATACGTACATTATTCTCGGTTCACAAACTTGATACTCATAGCGAGCGTTGGAGAGAGAGAGAGAGAGATCAGTGCAGCCGTGTATCCCCTGTAAATCCTGGCACGATCAGTTCATACATCACAGGTTGAATGCCACTTGACCCACTGCCCACCACAGGTAATTACAGCAGGAGACTTGATGAAAAGGTAGCCGCCTGTAATTACTCCGCCATATACTCGCGAGTATGTACCCCCTCACGCGGGGTGCTAATCCTAGGCTGCAGTAGCCTCTGCTACAGGCTTGTTGTTTAAAACATTTCGTGCTGTTTGAGCATCCATCCCAAGCAGCAGTATTGGTCGTAATTGACATATATATATATATACTTGTAGGTAGCACTGTCGGACACTACCCTTTAATTAGTAACACGTCACGTGAGGAAGGTGAACATCAGGAGGTGCTCTAATTCTTCGCATTTCCTCACTCTGAGAGTTTCTTCAAATACATTTTCTCCTCATGGTCGTAATATATATTTGCACATGAAATAGGCGCCTTTTTACCCGACGCCTATACCCACTGTTCAGGAGAAGAGTAACAGAAATCCGTCACAGCCAGTTAGCATAATTTAATACTTTCAAGATAAAAAACGAACAACTCATCGAACCGAGGAGTAAATTAATGACCATGCACGGAAATATCCATGCAAAACCTGTCACCTGTTTTTATTTGTTGCCGTATTTCACTTGCTACTTTACTTATCCGACTAACCTCGAAGTCTCGCTGGTTTGATTTTATATTTAGTCCGCAAGACATTTGACTCTCTTGATTATTTCATTCCTTGCACTAAATTCACGTAAGACATTATCAATTTTTGTGCAACGTTCGTGTGCGAGCTGGGAAAGAAGTTAATTAATATTGCCTTACAGCAGGATTCTGGACTATTTTGTCGGCTTTGTAACGTTTGCACTGGTAATGAAATAATTGGCATGCTGTTTATTTGACGTATTGTGAAGTACTAATTCCAGCTATTAAATCTCAGCAAGGTTAGTGTTTGTTCTAATTGTCACATTTAACGCTTTTCTTTAAACACAATAAAGACAGACCTGCTGGGTCGGGATAAACCTTTTACCTGCACCAACACGCCTGATAAATGATCTTTTCATTAACCTTTAAAGATTATATATATATATTACGTAACTCGTACATAACACGCGACTGGTGCACATTACGTGTTTTATATCCACTTAGAGGCTCCTTTAACACCCTCTGGCTTTCTCAAATCATGGAAATATATCTAAATGTGCTTCTATGTTTTGACACTCATTAAATTAATTGAATTATATATCAAAATATAGTGATCAACAGCATCAACAACTAATTAGTTTTTTCTGGGGGAGAGGGCATTTTCAATGGATTATTGTCAAGTGCCTCTACTGACTTTACTAACATTAAAATAAAGACAATAGAATTCAAAATTCCGTTCAAAATAAGTATTTTACACGATATGCTTTAAGGAACAATTTCATTGATATTATTTGCACGTAATGGGATTCCTACTCTACACATACTAATGTAAAATGTCATTGTTGATCTATTTAAAGCTTAATTCCTTGTCGCATAGGTATATTACCGACAAGTCATAAGAGTTTCAACGAGTCGTTTTACAGCTACTCACACGGCGCCTTTCCTGCTGCAATGCTCCCCAGCTCAGCTGATGCTGCCTTCCTATCCGCTGATATCTCTGTAGAAATTTACGTAACCTTATAGCCTAACCGAAGTTAAGTTTAAAAACATTTTCATATGGTAGATGTCAAAACAACAAGATAACCGAAGAGTTGAAAAAGCAGCGTTCAGGCTTTCTCACAGGAAGGATCAAGGTTACGTCATCTTTTTTTTTTAAAGTCATTTCAGGCCCTATATTCTTTACTAACTTCTCCCCAGATTAACGATGTCTGAGAAACAGTTTTATCCGACATGGGCGGAGTTGTAAGTTATACAATAATAGCTGATCATTTGCTGAAAGATTAGACAACGCGAAGGGTCTTTTTACAGAAATCAGGACAGAGATGGTTGAGCTCTACCCTCTACCAGGGCGACTGATAGATTTTTACGAATATTCACAGATATGTCTCTAGCTAGATAGATTGTCATTTTAACTCTAAGTCACTTTCAATGGATTAGAGTTAAAATGACAATCTATCTAGCTAGAGACATATCTGTGAATATCCGTAAAAATCTATCAGTCGCCCTGGTAGAGGGTAGTTGAGCTCAGGGTGGCAGAGAATGGCATCAGCAGCGGTTATTTTCGCGTTCGTCAAGAGTAGTGTGGGATAAAGATATCGCCTTTTTGTACAAACAAGAAAAAAAGAAAAGAAGTGTGGAATCATACCCGGCGCAGAGCAATATGACCTTCACATTAATTCTACTTTAATATCTCTAGCACCGTGCTTGTTATCAAGTGGTTACCTGGCAAATAGCAATTTCATTTAATAAAGCAATTCGAGGGCAGTGTCAATTCTATCTAATCTAGTACTGTTGTTTTAGTTGATAAAGAAGCAGCGGAGCAAAGATGGAAGATAGCGGGCACAAACAAAATTAGCTTTTTATCCGTTTTCATTTACTGCTTTTGTAGATTTTATGCCTTTGTGAGTCTAGAACTTGGGGAATAAGTGGAAGGTTTTGCAAAAGCACAAATAATCTCATTTTAAAAATATACACTTTAATTTACATAATTTGAAAAAAGAACAAATGTAAATGCACATGAAAACGAACTCTAAATATATAAACATATACTATAAACATATACGATCAAAATAGATTAATAGTTGGGCCATAATTCGGTTTTATTCTTTTTATTCTGAAAACTCGTTTTCATTACCAAAGCCGATATAATATCTGTTGAGATCCGTTGGTATATTCCGCCATGACGCACTGACAGTGGTCAAAATGTCTGATTCAGAATTGTGATTGTATTTTCATGACGCACCACCAGTGGTCTAAACGTCTGTTTCATGGTTGCGATTGTATTGTCATGACGCACCACCTGCTACTTCTTACCGAGGCGGTGCTTCCTCTTTGAGTGCTTAGTGTGTTTGGAGTGCTTCGTAGGTCTTGTTGGAGGCAGCGAATGCGGATGTGATGGCCAACCGGATGCAGTGTTCTGTTCCGGTATATGTGGGCTGTGGCGGTGCGGGCTGTGGCGGTGCGGGCTGTGGCGGTGTGGGCTGTGGCGGTGCGGGCTGCGGGGACGTGAACGGGGGCCATGGTGACTGTGATGATGCGCTGAAAAAGAAAACATGGTGATGAGGGTCACATTTAGATAAGTAGGCCTACTCAATATTTATTACTGTATGTAACACCTACCTGATACAAGCATTGGTTAGTTTTTGATGAAATGGCAATTGATGGGTATTATGAGAAGAGAACAAGTTTTATTCAATGATGATCTAAGCTATGCAAATCCCTTCAGGATGTAAGACAAGATAACGAGTGCCCACATGTGACCGGCTTCTGCGCCGAACATCAGAGCAGTTATGAAGTTGCGGTCACTTTTACTTAAAAAAGCTAACTAATTCCCGGAAATATCAACGTTGGTCCTTGATAATAACAATTATAAACCCGTTTTCGAGGTATACGTTACTCATTTTGACTCATCCTCGAAATAGAAACAGAGACTGGCAGACTTTTCTTATGACAGTAAAAAAATAAACTGAAAAATAAAACTTCAGAGAAGATCAATTTCTCAGTTGTTTCGCAGAGGGTATACCTTAATGATAACGGGAACATTGCTGAATTTACAGGAATATTCAATTTTGCTATATTAAGCTCTGTCGCACTTTGTACGCTATAAGATCTACCTACCGCTCACGTAGGGATTGTAGCAACATTCAAACAACACGTGCAGCACAGGAAGTGAAGTGCTCGCGGTCCCACACGGGAAGTGAGTGGTGCACACGTCCTCTTCGTCACACCGGCTACGGAGTAAGTCCCTAGTTTCTGCGGCTGAACTGCATGTGCCGTTTGTACAGACGAGAACGTCGTGGATCTGGCAGTAAAAGGAAGTGTTTGTAAGGATTTTTGAACTTAGCAGAATCATATGTCAATACGGGCAATTATCAGCCAAGATGTTATATGTTCTTTCTTTCGCCATACAAAACAGTATTTGACGGATTACGCTAATATTGACTACTACTACTACTACCACTACTACCACTACTACTACTACTACTACTACTACTACTACTACTACCACTACTACCACTACTACTACTACTACCACTACTACTACTACTACCACTACTACTACTACTAC